CTGGCTATTACAAATAATGCTGCTATGAACATAGTTGAACAAATGCCCCTGTCATATGATCGGGCATCTCTTGGGTATATTCCCAAGAGTGGCATTGCTGGGTCCAGGGGTAGGTTGATCCCGAATTTCCTAAGAAACCACCACACTGCTTTCCAAAGTGGTTGCACAAGTTTGCATTCCCACCAGCAATGGATGAGGGTACCCCTTTCTCCACAACCTCTCCAGCAAAGGATATCATTTAGGCCCATCTTTTTAAATTTAAATAACATTATTTTTTTTCATTTATTTTACACACTGACCTCAGATTCCCCTCCCTCCTCTCCTTCTGTTCCCTCCCCCCTTTCCATCCACCCCTCCTCCTCCATCTCCATTCAGAAAGGGGCAGACCTTCCACAACCTTGAAACAAAGCCTAGCAAGTCAAGTTGAGGCAGGACCTAGCCCCTCCCTTACTTCATGGCTGGGTGAGGGAATCCAGCATAGGGAACAGGTCCACACTATAGGCCCACCTTAGGGAGGCATTTTTCCAATGGAGAATCCTTTTCTCAAATGACCCCAGCTTGTATCATCAACATGTTATGTGCAGAGTCCCAGGTCCTGCTGGAGGAGAATGCTCAGTGATTTAAATAAATGAATATTAAACATGCGATAAAAGAAATGCAAATCCTGCCCTTGTTCTCGTACATCATGGGAAAGGCAAAGCCCAGCCTTCCATGGACCTAGGCCCGCTCCTTGTGAATGCCTCCTTGAGATGACAGCCGGCCAGCTGTGACTCTGTTCACGCGCCCTACATGGCCTCCATCAGAATCACTGTGGTGTATGGACTACTGTGGATTCCGCCATCAGAACCCAGGCCTGGGGAACCTGTGTTCACAGTGTTCTAGGTGGTCCTCAGATAAGCTGTGGTTTGAGATCTGCTGCCTCGAATGCTGAGCACTCTCGTGAGGCCTTCTGGCTTCCAAGGCTACAGTTTATTTCCATTATCTCAGGGTCTCTGCGGTTCTGTACACAAGTTCATTTTAGACACATAAAAAATGGGGCACGGCTCTGTAGTGTGCTGGGCTGTGGTCAGCCTTCCGCAGTACTCGACACACGTCCGCGAAAACAGCAAGAGCAGAGGGGTTCTCCTTCTTGCTCTTAATCTGGTTAGACCCGGTGCCAAAAAGCACAGTGCCTTATTCTGCACATGGCAGTGATTTCCATAGGCCATGGGGAACTGCTAATTAGGAAGCGTGGAGTTCCTTGATGATTTAAAATGCGGATGAAACTCCTCAAAGAGTAGCCTTGAGCTATGGCTACACTCTGCCTGCTGGAATACATCCATCTTGGTGCACCCCATCCTGGGGAGGAAAGCCAACTGGTTGGCTAGTCTGGGAAACTGAATTTGAACATCTGATTTCCCTTGTCTTGTTCTCTGAGCTTGTTCTCTGAGGCCAAGCAAGCAGAGAGGAACTGAATTAGCCTTAGTGGGCCAAGATGGAAGACCGTTGAGAGAAGAAACTAGGGAGGCGGCACCTTGTTCCATTTGCTGAGACCATCACCAGAGTGCTGAGCCACGGACTAACACTTCCCCAGCTCCGACTCTCAGCCACCTCGATCGTTTTGCCTCCCTTCCCTATTAAGGCTGTGAGATTTTGTTTGGGGGTTCTAGGGTCAGGCAGAAGCAACTCTCACAGTCAGAGGGTCTCCACTGATAGTGCACAAACTAAGAGCAACTGAGTGAGTCCTCCCTTCCCCTAATTGGGCTAATGTATCTAGAACAGTACTTCCCCACAAACATACCTAGGTTTCCATCTCTTCAGAACGCTCAGATTTGGTATCAAGGGAGTCCTGAAGGCTTTACTGAGAAATCTAAGTGCTCCTTCCCCAGAATCCCCATGACCCAGGAGAGTTTACCAACTGTATTCCTATGAATTCCTGGAAAAATTAAAAATTTCTCTACCTATTTTCTAGGAGATGTTGGCATCACAAAACACAAAAATGATATCGCCTATCATTTCCCAGCTGATTGATGAGAGGAAATCAATGGAAAACGGAGTCCTGCTGCCTCTGCCACAAGCAATCGCTCAACCTCAACTGTGTCCCCCAAAGCCAGCTTCGGCCAGGCACAGCAGAGTGAACATGTACAGGTCATTTGCTCCAGACAGTCTAGGAATTCTGACTCCATCAGATGAGCAAGAACTAGAGACAGAACCACTGTCCACAGGGGACGACCTGGGCAGAGGCTCCCACAGAGGGTTCTCATCTATCACCATCACTGCGCGACGTGTGGGCCCTCCGGCCAACTCCTTGGTGTGGGACACTGTTCAGGACTCACTATGTCCCAATTGCAGGGCCAAGGATGCTTTGCTCCAAGACCCCCCAGCTCTGGCCAGTGGTACCCATCTATGTCAGCACAGTGGATCCTTCACCTGTACAGAGTTCCCCAGCAGGGGCTCCATAGAGGGGATGAAGGTACCCCAGGCTCATACGAGGCTGTGTGCGAGGCAGGAGTACTGGATCTCCCAAATGGGTGACAAAGAGGACAGTTTTTCTTCAGACAGTTCACCATCAAGAAAAGTGCCACTGGTGTTCAGTTCATGTGTCCACCTCCGGGTGTCTCGGCAGTGTCCCAATGCCATTAACTATTTGGACAAATCGCTTTCTGTCCCCCTTGAGCAACCTCAGATTGCTAGCCCCAAAGTCCACAGGTCTGTCCTGTCGCTCAGCCTCCGCTGTAGTTCCCACAGGTTAACAGCAGATGGCGTAGACAGCACAGCTAACGGCGAACCAATCAGCAGAGCCCTGCCGCAGGAGCTCCTGGAGGGAAAGCAGGACCTCCTAGGTCCACCATTGGGCCAGCCGCAGGAAGGTCACTGGAAGGAGAGCCCAGCATTGGTGCCAGTACATTTGGGGAGTGGCACGTGCCCTCGGACTAGCTCCCCTCCCCTGGAAAAAGTCAAATTTGCAGATGGGAGAAGGAACCAGGTCCCAGTAAGAAAGGAGAAAGAGGAGCTTGCAACGTGTACCACTAACAGCCATGCCGACCAACTCTCCATCCATATTCCCGGCTGGAGTTACCGGGCAGGTGAGTTGATGTCCCCTTGCTGGAGGGGGCCCAATGCCAGTGTTGGGCTAAGAGAGTGCTGTTGATCTCCTTCTGTTCACCCATCCCACCAGAGTGTTCACAGTTAGCATTTGGTTGTCTCTGCCTCAAGTCAACAACTCACAAGTTGGTCTGATTAGGAACCTGTTCTCACACAGAGATAGTGAGAGACCTTCACTCAAGTTCCCTGTCCCAGCAAGATAGTGTCAGGCCACACAGGCAACTGGCAACCCATAGCAAACAGTGGCTCCCATAGCAGCTGGAATAGAGCGTGCTCACGTCACATTCCAGAGCAGGGTGAGTCAAATAAAATGTCACCGCACCCAGATAGTTTTTAAAACTCTTCAGGAGTCCAACACCTGAATGTTGGGGGATTGTCTAGAATTTTAAGGTTTTTCACTTTTCAATCACGCCACTGATAAATGTGTTAGCTTCAACATTTCAAAACTGCGCCTGGGCTCTATAATGGAAAGAAGTGTTTGTGTGTTTGTGTGTGCATTTGTGTGTGTGCACGCGCGCGCACATATGTAATAATTACAGCATGTTTTCTAATGGGAAAGTTGGAATGTTCCTTCCCAAACAGCAGCAAAAGGAATCATGTGTCCTGAGCTGTGTCTGGAGGATCCTGGCTGGGATTTGTTTCTATTTCTGCGATTTCAGGGCCAGACAGACTCTCCCAGGTGGGCTTCCCTGAGACCCCTTGGCTTTCAGGAGAGGAAGTGAGTCTGTCAGAGGGAGGCAAGCAGCACAGATTTCTCTGTCTCTGAGTAAACTTCTATTTCCAGTCCTGTACTTTCTGTGAGAGTGACTGCTTTATGAGTCATAGACTTTCCACTTGGGGAAAATATTTCAAAGAAATAATAGTGAAACTGAAAACGCAGCATATGCATAATAATTTTATAGTATGAATTTTTGTCCATTAAGGGTTTATTAATTAATAAAAAATGACCGTGAAACACTTAAAACTATAATGCGTGTGGAAATGTTAAATGATGCAATTAATTTTAACAAGGGTAGATATATTGGCTGCTGAGAGTTCTGTAAAGTAAGTTCGATATAGCTTTTGAATTGATTAAATGATTGAGATGCCAGAATCAACAGGCTCGTTGCATGCAGGAAGACGCAAACAGCCAGTCCGCATTACAGAGATAAACTCCGCGTTAGTATTTAAGGCAACCACTCAAGCTGGGCACTTCATCTTCCTTATTGATGACGATTCCAGAAATAGAGAAACTGCACTCTGTGCTGAGCACGACTTGACGCTTTGTCTCACGGTATAGAATAATCACTTAGATTTTTAGAAAATTTCACCAAAGGCTCTTTAAAAAATAACTGGAGCCAGATCACAAAACACCCATCTCAGAGCAGAGTGGCTTCCCTCTGGCTTCGTAAAGAGGCTGGCTGTTCCTGTAAAGGGTTTGCTTAGGTGGGTGAGGGGAGGTTAGTTCTGCCTCCTGTGGGGCTGACATCCATCAGAATAGTAATGTATTGTAGAGACTTACTCACGTTTAGAACCTGACTCTAAATTACGGGGCCTCATCCTATCATTTGAAGAAAGCTACAGAGACTCAGGGAGCCCTGAGCACATTCTCTTATTTTCTAGCTCAATGAATATGGACAGCAACACCACCGCTCTGAGCTTGTATCGTTCACTCAGTAGTTAGTGTTGGTGAATCTTCAAGCTTAATGCTCTTTCCCATTCTCTATCAGCCCCAGCTGGACCTTTCGAAGGGAAGAAGTACCGTGTGAGTGTCAGCAATTTCTGCCTGAATATCCAACAACCACAGAAAACATCAAGGATTGAGGAGATGTGCAAAGAAATAATTCCTAACCCTCAGGCCCAAAGGAAAGCAGAGACCCAAGTGTCTTTTAGAAAGTGGTGCTCCATGAAAAGAGAGGCTAGTTTGGTGTTTGGGCCACCTGTCTGTTGAGGATGTGTACACACACACGCATTTACCTACCTGGTTTGCATACGCTCTCACTCATCTCTTTCTACACTAATTTTCAGTGAGCAACTTTCTTGTTGAATAATGAGAAAGCCTGCTGCAGAATTCCTGTCTGCCATTTATGAGCATGAGTGGCAACCCACTAGTTCTAATGATCCCATTTTGCCCTGGTACAGGGCACACCATCATCCCAGGGTGCACTTGCAAGCTCAGCTGCGACCCTCGCAGAGCCTTTTAGCCTAATGCAAGCACTCTCAGACCGTGGCGATGCTCATTAAGACTCAGAGGACCTGTGCATCTTCCTGTCTGTAACTGGAACTGCATCTGAGGCATTCTTGATGGCTTCCTGTGGCTACACACACTATTAACGGGCATCATCCTTCATAGTGTCCGAAGCCAACTCCTTTCATCCAAACCCCTTTCAAGCAGGAGCCCCTCTGAGCTTGCTTTGCTGATATCCAGCTGCCTTTGTAGATGCTGTGTGGGAGAGTCCATAGACAAAGTCAAGACAGTTTTGGCTGTAGTCATTAGGTCACTGGATAGAAAGTTCTACAGATGTTATTCTTGGGTAAGCCTTGAAGAGATGCATACACTCCGGAAGACTCCTGAAATGAGGAGAGATGGGTTACATGCAGCCACGTCATGTAAAACAGAAGATAGTCTTGTCTGCCTGGGACAAAACATCTCCGCAGACACACGGGCGCCTGCTTCTCCTCAGGAGTGAGGTTAAGAATCGGTTTTCTTTTTGCATAGAATGTTGGTCCTTGGTGCTTTGTCTTCACTGTTAGTGAGCATCCTGCTGGCACCATCAAGGTAAAAAAACCATACAAATCTCTGCCCCTGTAGCGAGGAAAACTTTCACCACGGTTACCACCCTTGTACTCATTATCAGCGTCATGAATAATCATGGTGTGTGCTATAAAAATCCACAGTACCAGACCTTGGTTTATAGCCACTGTTTTAAATCATCTAGTTCTGTAGGGAATGTATCAGTGAAGCTTCTTTTATAGACAAGACAAATAAGGCTTGAAAATTAAACGACTTTACCCAAGTCCGTGTATCCGTTCAGTGCCAAAGCTGTGTCCATGGTTCCAATTATGTCCTTGCCAGCAACAATCCTCAGCACAGTGGTCAGGCATTGGTGGGGCTCAGTAGTGGGCCCGTCTCTACTGTCACCGTAGAAGGTGGTATTTGAAGACTACTTAAGAACGTATCTTGGGGTGGTGGCCAGTGGACTACAAATGGGTTCCTGTGTTATTGATTTGTCTAAAGCTCATCAGCTCAGAGCTCTCTCTCTATCTGAAATCTGGATCTTGGTGCCACTCTGTGGGATTTCATATTGATCCGAACGGTTCTGACATCACCGTGCATATGATTGCTCCACTATTGATTATGATACACTAAGTATTGCCTAGTTTGTCTTGTCCTGTGGTTCAGCTCTGGAGCTCCCTTCGTCCCTGAGACATCTGAGTAGACAGAGAGCAAGATACAATGTTAGATGATATTGAAGAAAAGACTAAGGAATGTTCTACCCACACCTGCTTGCCTGACTTCCTGCTTTGTGGCGGGCCTTCTGGACCAGTAGACCCTTGGCGACTGCACATGCTCTAAAAAAGTGGTTCTCAACCTGTGGGTCACAACCCCTTGGGGTTACATATTGGACATTTATATTAAAATTCATAACAGTAGCAAAACTACAGTTATAAAGTAGCAGTGGAATACTTTTATGGTTGGGGTCATTGTAACATGAAGAACTGAATTAAAGGGTCACGGCATTAGGAAGGTTAAGAACCACTGCTCTAAAGGCACTAGTCTGCGTAGCTGGAAGGAAGATGCTCCTGCCAGGCCACCACATGGATATCAAGTCTGCTTGTATTCTGAGGTGTGAGGGGTCTCTAGTGAGCTAGCTTCATTTCACTTATGCATCAGGCTTACCTGAGAAGAAGATGGCCTCCTGGATCCAGGGGGACTTATTTCTAGAGGGCTCAGAAGTCTTGGGAAGGAACTCTATTTTGAAAATGTATTTCCTCCCTCTGATGATCTAGACTTACATGAAGCAATCTGTAGTCCTTTTTTTCTCTCCTCCCCCTCCTCTTCTTTCCCCTTCATTCTCCCTCCCTTCTTTTTTCTCCTTTCTCTCCCCGTCTCTTTCCCTCTCCTCTTTTTACCTCCTTTCCCTCTCTTTCCTTTTCCTCTCTTCTCTGGTGTGGGATTCCACTCTGTATGCTGTGAATACCATTGGTTAATAAAGAAACTGTCTTGGGCCTGCGCAGAGCAGAATAGAGGTAGGTGGGGAAAACTAAACTGAATGCTGAGAGAAAGAAGGCAGAGTAAGGAGCCACCACCATGGACAGACACGCAGAACCTTGTTGGTAAGCCATAGCCATGTGGTGATACACAGGTGCATAGAAATGGGTTAATTCAAGATGTAAAAATTATGTATAAATATGTAAAAGCTAATAGGCCAAGCAGTGATTTTATTAATATAGTTTCTGAGTGATTATTTCGGGAGTCTGGGCTGCCAGGAAATGAATGAGCGGACTCCCACTACACTTCTCCTCCTCTCCTCACTATTCCTCTCGCCCTTGTCCTCCTCTTATAAAGGAAAGTGTATGCATCTTCACAGACCCTCTGATTTGTGTGACATTTACTCAGCTTTGCTGTTCTGGTGGGAGGGCACTGTGATGCATTGACTGATTTGGCTGTTGCCAATAAAACTTTGTTTACAAAGGCAAATGGTATGCCAGACATAGTCTGCCTGTAATTTACTGATTTCTGATCTAGAACTTTTTGCCAGTATTGTATCCTGTGTTTTTAGAACTCAGACTCTGACAGGAAGATCAGTGGAAAGTCTATATCCTAGGGAGTGCTTGTGAGAATGACCTGAATTGAAGGAAGAAGGAGAAGGCATGACTCTCTGGACAGACAAACAAGGCCATAGCAACCTCAGGGGTGGGAATGGTCCTTCAGTGTTGCTCTAAGCTGGATCAAGAGGGCTGGGACTTTGGATCCCAAGGAATAGATGTGACCTTGACT